GCATCGGTCGGCGGGTGGTGAGCAATTGTACTGTGCATCACTTGCTTTGTGTATTATTATTATCATATTATTATTATTATCATTTTATTTCAATTATTAAATGTTTTTATCTCAACCCACGAGTTTTTCTCACTTGTGCTTTTCCAATTCTCTCCCCCATCCCACTGGGTCGGGGGGAGTGAGCGAGCGGCTGCGTGGTGCTTAGCTGCCACCTGAGGTTAAACCACAACAGTCCTTTCTGAAGATCGTCCAGCCCTCCTGGACCCCTTTGCCCTTCAGGACTGTCTCCCAAGGGACTCTCTCAGCCAGTGTCCTGAACAGGCCAAAGTCCGCCCTCCGGAAGTCCATGGTTGAGGTTTTGTAACCGCCAATTAGATTAGCCAGGACTTGGCTGAATGAGGTTGCTGGCCTTTTGCCAATCTTTCTGTTCTCTAAATGACACCTGGTGCAATATGAACTGGGAAAGCGATGGTACTGGGTTATGACAAGTAAGTTTTATTTGAAAATGTCTCTCATTCCAAAAATTGATTTATTGGAAACTGATGAACTAGAAGAGACCAGACTCCTCCTGTGGAGATATACATTTGCTATACAGTCAGAGCGGCTCCACTGAGGGGCCTCTCTTGATTGTCAGTAGCAATCTAAATAGCTCTAAATATAAGTTCTGATGGTGGTACTTTAGGCCTAAGGGAACCTCCAAATTTTCAATGGCTTTCCTCAAACTGAACAGCCTGAACAGCAGTTTTGCCTCTGGTTCAGGCAATGTCATCCTTGGCATATTTTTCCCTCAGGTGATGGATCAAGGTGAGCTGATGTGTCATTCTTGTTTTTTTTTTTTTTTTAAAAGAAAAGTTTTTGGTGCTTAGTGGAATACATGCGCATAGACACTGGGTGAGTGTGCTTAGTTTCACACTCAAGTGGTTAAAATGTGAAGGTACACACTACCCCTTCTTTCCCAATGAAGTACAAAAAAATGAACATGAGAGGGAGCCATAGCCTTTCTGAATTTTGGTATTACTACAACTTGACATACATGGGGTGATCCCAGCAGGAACAGGCCATGGTTCAATCGGGCATTGAGCACACGTTGAGATCTTCCTTATGGTTTGAAAGGTAGGTTTTTTTTTTTGTTTAGACACTGATTTCTGCCATAAAGGTAAACTACAAGCACAAATTTAACTTGTGCCCAATTTTAAAATAACTCCAAGTTCAGTGTCAAAAGGTTAAAACATCTGTTCAGGCAGAATTGCATTCAGACTGAGGGACTGTTTAGATGCTCTAGTTTAGGCCATTTTCCTGCCTCCAGTATGTCTTGGCACACTGACTTCAGCTCACATATGCTGTGCATAACTCTGTTGCTGCAAAGAAACCCTGCGCCTTTGTAGCTCTTTTGGCATGTCCTGTTTTTGCATATGCTCTATGCCTGTAAATTCACTTATTAAGCATTTAAACTAGGGATTCTTGAAAATCAATATTCTTTAAATATAGAGTAGAAAAAATTAACAAACTAAACAAGGAAATATATTAGTTTATATTTTCATTCTTGCTGTGACGGAAGGAAAGTTTAATATGGTTCACTTCTCTAGAATAATTTATATAAAGCAGTACATTGGTTAGACATGCATCCAGTGGAGGTGAAGGCTGAATATGGCTCTTACAACTGAGGGGACACCTGAGTTGAATACATACAGTAAAGGGAGAAAAAATTCCACATCTGTGGTATTGTGTCCCAAAATTTTGGTAGCTCAGTTGCTGTTTTTCCTCAGTAAGGTGGCGACGACATTTTCTGAAGAAAATCAGCAAGGTTTTACACCTTTATGCTGCAATGTTTCTGGCATATCCAGTAAGACTTCTGTTTTCAGGCCATATATATAACTTGCCTTTACTCTGTTCTTTAACTAGGCAGAAATGATACTGCACTGATCATGCTGCACTTCCCAGGGGGCTGAAGGTTCTCAGCTAGGTGTCACAAAAATGATAACAAATCAGACACACAGGAAAAGGCATAGAGAAAGGCTAACTCTGATGCAAGCAAAACTTACTTATTGCTTCTCAGAAAAGAAAGTATGTAGAAGAAATGCAGCACACAAGACAGATGATAATCATGAAGCCAGTGTGACTCCTGTGAGAAGAATGTTTTTCTGTTTTGGTAGCAGTTTAAACCTTTCTTTGGAAATCTTTTTGCAAAACATACTTTTATTTTGCAAATAACTGTCTGAATTACAGTCTGCGTGCTCTGTAATTTACTGCTCTCTTCCATGGCTTCTATGGCATCACCAGCTCCTCCCTTTTTCTCCTCCCCTAAAATTTAGGAGCAGAAGAGTGTTTGAAAGTTTTTCAGTCTAGCCTCAATCAGTTGCAGAAGCTCTGAAGGAACTGGCTGTATGTATCAAGGTACAAGCTATTTCCAGCAATGCAACAAGTCAATATGCCTTCTTACTCAAATCCTGAAAAGGAATTATTTCCTAAGAGAGTCTACCTCCATAAAAGAAGCAGAACCGAATCAGGATTGACACATTTTAACTCTTTAAAAATTAATAATCATAGTTTGCAAAGAGAATACAGACTGTACTTAAAATACTGAATTTCTTCAGAGATTAGACTGGGTAAGACTAAGCTGTTCCTGTAAAAAATTGTGTATATATGCATAATCTATTAATATTTCTACAATAATTTGACTTTAATAACTTGTTTCTCTCTGGATAAACTATTGATCATAGTTCTTCAATGCTATATAATTATATAATTTTACTTGCTGCATGATATACTAATTAAGAAATATTTATACAAAAATTATTCATTCAGTTAGAAAAATGGAGGTTTGAGGAACTTGTGTTTGTTTTATGTTTATTAAAACTTAAGTTTGTAATGGCATGTTATTTAAGAAGTTTCATGGTTTTCTTACTGAACTGTCATATAACAATAGCAAAAAACTATACATCTAGCATATGTTGCATATGTTTTTGATAAGCAAGATAATATGATGGTAATGAATAGCAATTTCAGCAGCACTGAGAGGAATAATAATGCATTTAACTTTAAAAAAAGAAAGATCAAAGAATATGTATATCTTTTGCGGGTTAATTTTCTATGAGAACAGACGTGCTTCTGATGTGCATTTGAGAGTTATACAGTGGAAAAAGATTCAAGAAAATTGTTCATTATTTAATGAATATTGTGTCTCACCAGCAACATCTTTAGATGTGAGGGCAGCTGAAGATTCTTACAAATGTTTTATTGACTGAGAATCTCTTTTTCTTTGTGGTGCCTGTATAATCCTTCAGTTTTTCACCTAATAAAAATGAAAGAAGCAGGTAGTATCTGCAAGTCCAGCTATTACTTGAAATGTGCAGTGTACCTATATTTAATGGAAGCTTCTGCTAGATTTCCTCTTCCAAAAACATAAAGTTTATATTCTCATGCAAAACCGTCCTTCCTTTATAACAGCTCTTTTCCCTGCCCCCTCCCCCCCCCGCCCCCCGTAGTCTAAAATAACAAAAAAAATCATAAAAGGAGCTAGGTTTTTATTTAAGGCTGAATGAAGGAGGTAGATTATATTGTTAGCTTCACAGCAATACAGAAAGTAAAGGGGACTTCAAGGGCTTCATGCAGTGCATAAGACACCCTCTTAATGCAGGACGAGTTTTATCAAGTATAAGCAGAATGATAATACTGGCAATAGTTAGGTTTTTCTTTTACTTCTCATAGAAGTATGTGTGCTTCTTAGTTGGTTTGTGTGTGCCATGGGACACACTGTGTTGAACATTTTTTTTATTTCAGAATCGACATATGCAGAAATATTCACAGCACTGCTGAGCAGTTATGAGATGATAGGGCTGCCTGGATTTGCAGGTGTCTGTTGCTATACAGTGTAAGAAGACAGGTAAGAAAAGGATGAAGAGGCCTCTGGGTCCAACCCCTTGGCTGATTACTGGAAACTTGCTGCAACTTGGAGAAGATCCTCATATAATATTAACAAAATCAAGAGAGAAATATGGAGATATGTTTCAAACAAACGTGGGATCCGTGCCAGTGGTAGTTCTGCATGGCTTTGACACATTTAAGCAGGCTTTAGAAATACAAGGAGAAAGCTCTGTTGGCAGATCAGATCTTTATAGTTTTTCTTTGACTGAAAATGAGGGATGCATGACTTTCAATAAAAAATATAGAGAAGGATGGAATGTCCACAAGGAGATTGCAAAAAATGCCCTGAGAAAGCTGTCATTGAAAGCAGACAAAAACCTCACATGCTTTGTCTGCTACAAGAACAGATACACTTAGAAGTTTCAGAGATTGTGAGAGCATTTAGGGACCTCTCAGACACAGCGGGTAGCTTTGATCTTGCTAGCTTCCTCACCAGATGTTTAGCAAGTGTCATCTGTAGCCTGTGCTTTGGAAAAAGGTGCAACCAAAATGACAGGGAGTTCCTCACAGTTCTTCATTAACCATAACGTCATGCAGATCTTCAGCTGTAGCAATGCTGCAGATCTTTTCCCTGCTTTTCATCATCCTCCTGACAATAAACTGAGATGTGTCTTCACTTGTGTTCAAAACAAGGAAAGGTTTCATGAATAAAAATGTTCAGGAACACTATATCTCCTATGATCAGGTGAGAAGGTTTGTTGTTCTTAATTCTTCAAGGACCCCTTGATTTGAAATAACAAAAATTACAATTTCTCACTTTTTTTTGTCCTTCAATTTATCAAGGAGTTATAGGGTTAGTGTACTGAGAAATTTATTGTCTCCTATTTAAAGTACATTTTTTGTATCTCCTTCCTATGTTAAAATCTGAAAAATAAACAAATAATCCACATATTGCTTTGTAGAACTGCATTAGAGGTATTACTGATACTCTGACTGCACTATGTGAATGCCAAAAAAGTCAAAGTGGTGAAGCTGTGTTGACAAATAAGCAGATTGTTTCCGCTGTCAGTGACATATTTGGGGCAGGTATGCTTATATTTCAGAAAGGTATGGTTTTCCTTACTACTTTGTGAGTTATTGGGGTCTTCAATTTCTTCCCCTATTCTTCCTGCTCTCATTATTAGAAAGCATGAGAAAGCATAGTGGGAGCACTTTAATGTTTTAGCATGTTCCAGTATCCTTAAATAGAGAACAAATGTCAAACAGAAAAAGGGCAAGAAGTTGTGATAATATATCCTAACAAGAACTATCCTACAGCTAGCAGTGATGACAATTAATTCTTTTAAATACTTCCTTACTTTTAAAAATAAGTCAAAAGTCATTTTAAGTATTTAGGTGAAAAAGGCAGAAAAAACAGCAAATGTGTTGAGGGAATAACAATCTTGGGACTATGGAGAGATCATAAAACAAAAAAAGGTTTCAAGTGAAGAAAAGCTGTCCTTCTAAGGACATTGATATTTTTATCGTCAATGTTTAAAAGTCTGCTTAATCAGCAACTTTCTTTTCCAAAACCCAAATATCTTCTAATTTTATCTTTTTGTAAGGCTGTGTACTTGCTGAAGTATCTCCAAAGCCGCAAGTGTGTACCTTTTCAATATATGGAATGCATCTTTTCTCTTATTAAGAAAGCAATATTCACCTTAAGAAAATTCAGAGGAATATACAATATCAAATCTAAAATTCTCCCTTCTTTGTCCACTAGTTTGTGCAACATGCAGTATAATAGCCACAGTGGCAAAAATTAACGTTTTATCTGCAGGCTGGAAGAAGCGTGTAGTTCTGAATATTTGGGTCTGATTATACAGCTCAGAAAAGATGTTTAGATTTGGGCTAAACAGAGCTTTATTAACCCTGCTGACACAAAACAAGGTAACAGTAACACAGATTCTGTTCCTGGAGTTTGTAGACATTTTCCTGCAAAGTAGTGCTTACTAATTTCAGAATGCTCAAATTTTCAGTATTACTGTGCACAGAGAGAAAGCAAAAGGCACACTGGGCAACAGGGGATATCTGGAACCACAGAGAGATGTATGGTTCTGAGCTAGAAGAAATAACACTACAGAACAAAAAAGAATATGTTTCATAAAAAAATGGATCTGGATTATTTTTTAACTTAATTTACCCCACATTAATTTAGCTCTTGTTTTAGATCTCAGCAGGTACAACTTTTATGAAAGTATACATTAGGATCCAAAACCAATCCTTTCTTGAAGTTCAAAGTCTATAGGGTCACTATTCAGTCTGGACCCATTTATGCACAGAATGTGGGCAAGAAGCCCTGTATAGTATACAACGCATGGAATGCACTAACCCACTTACAGTCCTACTAATGGCATATGCTTGTAGCTCCCACTCACAGCAATGAGAATTTCAGCTTAATTTTAGAACAGAACACATGCAATCTGAAAATCACACATAATTGGAATTCTTTTGAAAAGCTGACAGAAGGGTTGATTGGGTTCTTGCATCCCTATTACCCTGTTAGATCTCAAAACTCCTGAGTTTACTATCCAATAACTGTCATATTCAGTCAAAATTAAATATATTCTAGGAGACATTAATTCACTGTTCGGTTGACATGTGGAAAGGGAAAGATTCAAGCACCACTTAGGAGGTCTGGATCCTTCTTACATTGTTATCAATGGCATAATTCCCATCTATACTAATGAGAGTGCAATTGCTCATGCTAATGGTTGTTTCTGTGAGATTTTCTCTTAATTTGCAGCTCAAGAAAGTTCAGGGAGGGCAGAGGGGATTGTGAATTTGCATTACCTTAACATTAAAGATTTAATCCAACACTATTCTGCATCTGATTTTAACTTATCTCCATTTAAAAGAGAATTATCTTCAATGGAAATTGTGAATTTAAAGACTTATAATCTGTTGTGTGATTCAGTTTTTGAAAGAGATGATAAAGTAGAAGACAATTAAATTATGGCAATCCATACAAAATGCCTGGCAAAATTTGCCATGAAAATGGACTGCAGTGTTACAGTGTTTTATTATTAACAACTGCTTTTTTAAAGATTGTGTGCAGTTTGACTCTTTAGTAAGTTAGTAATATTATGTGTCATGGTATCGGTATCTTAGGATGTAAAGAAATGGTGAAATAAAAATGTTGAGCCCATTTTAGTGCTAATTAATGGAAACTGCAGAAGTCTATTGTAATAGCAGTATAGTTCATTCCCGAACATCTGATATGAGCTTTGTTTTAATCTTTTCTTGACTTCTCAATATATTTCTCATTACTAATTCATGAAATTGCGATGATTGCAAAATGTAAAGAAGATATTACAGTTCCTTTTAGTATTATACAGAAAGATAAATTTAATAAATTTAGTTACTATAGTCTTACCATCATATTTTTTAAAATATCAGCTGCCAGTTTTTCATATAATGTCAATGTCTATTTTTAAACAAAAGAACAACTCTTGCAATCACAATACAAGATCAAGTATGATTTTACATCACAAGGAATATTAAAAATAGCATCTTCATTAATTTATATTATCATAAATCAAACATAATTACTTTCAATTGGTCTCTCTATACTATAAAATATGTTTAAAAAATAAACAAACTTCCCTCTTAACATATACCCTATTGCACTGTTTCTACGTACTACATTATTTATTATAGCCATTAAAATGACATTTTAAAGCAAAAAAAACCCACTTGAAACTATTGTTTAAGAACTAATTCCATAACTTGTTTTCATAGAGATAGTTTGTTGTCTTTCACTGAAAGATGATGCTTAATGCCATTTTAATTAATCATCAAAATCATAATATGCTTATATCCAATGTGTCATATAAAGTGCTTATATGAGTTCTTCTGTCTTCCTGCAAAATGATTAATTCAGCCAAATTATTTGCATGTAAGACATACAAACAGGTTTTGCATGCAAGTAATTTCTTAATTTTTCTTTTGACTTTATTGAAATGCTACCAACTGCTCCACTGTGTTGTTAATCATTAGAATTGCAAGTGTAATTTTAATGCAGGTGCAATATAGGAACCCATATCAAAGCCCCACTGTACGAGATACTTTTCAGATACGTAGAACATTGTATCCCCTGTCAAGACTGTGCTTTCAATCTAAAAAGCTACCTACAGGTTAAATATCAAAGTTACTTATTTTATTTTTATCGACAAATTCAAATTTGGAGTAGTAAAGTTAGAACATAAAATAGTTTAAAAGGAGAAACTTCTCTTCTTCCTCTCTCTTCCTCTCTCTTCCTCTTCCTCCTCCTCTTCCTTGTCCTCGTCCTCCTCCTCTTCCTCCATATTTGCATTACACAGCTAATATAAATGTCTATAACATTTTAAATATTTTTATTTTTCCGTACATGTGTTGGTCCTTGTTTACACTCACGAAACTGATTTCTGTCTCGTTAGGCCAAAGGCAAGCACTATAGAAATTAAATCTTTTTTACAGAATAATTGTAATGACACATCTAAGGTAATATATAATGCTTAATTTTATAGGCTTTGATACAACTACAACTGGATTATTCTGGTGTTTAATCTAATTTTATTTCCCAAAACCCAGAAAACTATACAGCAGGAAATTGGTAAATGGGCTGAAAATTTGCCTATATAAAAATGTTTTACACACAGATGACATGATCTGTTTAATTTGAGAACTTCACTTGGATCTAAGATTCAAATATGGAGCAAAACAGTCCTTCTGAAGCATGCACCTCATTTTTCTTACAGTCAATGGAGAAAAGTTGGCAGTTTTAAAAGACTCCAGAGGGAGAGTAAGTCCACCTAAGTGAGCTTTTGTGTCTGTGTGGATCCCACCTACAGTTACAAAAATCTGATTCCCTTTTTTTTGTATTCACTCTCTAGGTAGATATAAAGAGAATAGTCAGCATGAATAAGGGAGTTAGGCTATGGTCCAGTATTCCAGCTGGTCCAGAATAAAGAATCCAATCCATTCCCACACCCATCTCCAAATCCCTTCTCTTCTGGCCACAGACAAATTGGAATTGTAAAGTGGAATGTATGTTTAGTCTTATTTCTGTATAGTTTAAATGAAACTGTACATTTTAAAACTGGACACTTAGTGTCAAAGGTATAAACCATCACAGTACAGACTTCGTAGCCAAAGAAACATTCAGATTTTTGTGGTGTTCTTTCATTTTTCATATACTCTGAATTTTAGACAGGGAAAGATTACATTTCTTGAGGCAGCTTCTGTGCTACAATTCTGCACTAGTTGTGCCAGATGTTTTCTAGCTGTAGTGCATACGTTGTATGAACACATTTATGTCTCTTTCAGTAGCATTAATCTTTACTTCTGCACATCCAGATGAAAACATCAGGCGGAGGCAGCTACTCAGATTTGAAGACAGGTCTTCAATGCCTTACAGGGAAACTTCCATTTATGAAGTGCTTGGGTGTTCATCATATGTGACTTTCACCGTTCTTCATTCATAAGTGATAATACAAAGTTTTCAAATCTTAATGTAAAGAAAATGGGAATTCTTGAAGATATAGCACATTCAGACTTAATAAGGGCATGTGTTTAGAAGCTGAAGACAGGTTTTTCTACATTCCTGGTTATGAGACTAATTTCAGTAGTGCAGGACTCTGATCACTCATTTTTTCTTGTGTTTGTATCCTACATATTTCCTTTAGTTGCAACTATGCTTTATAAAGTAGATTTTTATATTGTTTAAGAAGGCACAATAATAGTAGTCTATATTCCAAATGAACTTAAGGAAAAGAAAATCACTCTTGAGTTATCATTTGTCTCTGTAAGCAAACTACACTGTGCAATTTGACATACCAGTTACTTTAGTATTCTGAAAATGCTCAAGCATGAAGAGGAAGAGAAGAAATAACAAAATGAACTCTATTGAAAATTATTTTTATTTATTTTGAAATTAAACTCCTATAATTTAAAAAATGGAGAGGAATTCAACTACATTTCCATTGCAAATTTCATTTACCAATAACAACACTTCACCTACCAAGGACATGTATAATGGTAGACTGAGGTGAACATGAATGCTTCATTCCATTATTTCCTTTTTTCCTCAGTACTACCAAAGACACTATACTAGGCAGATATTTTTTTCCCAGAGGCACCTGTGTTTTCATCAATCAGTCAACCAGGAATATAAGCTGGATTTTACTGGATGTTGTATTTTGTCATTATAGGCTGTATTGAATATTCAGAACTTCTGCTTTTCCATTGTAGTGGTACTGTTCATCTTCTTAGACAAAAGTGAACAAATAATAGCTCTACTACTGTAGGCATATATTCTATGAATATAATTTGCAATGAATCTAAAATAAAATCATAGTGATGTACCCTTAAGAATTATAAGACTGGCAAATCATGTCCAGTTGGCACCCCTCCTCAAAATCTCAGTATCAGATATGCCACAGTTATTTTTGCCTACCTGCCTCTGCTGGGGTACATGGAAGCTTTCCTATGTTAAAAGAATGAAACTAGCGAAATTTCACTTTCTGCCTCTTTGGAAAAAAAAATGTATTAAGATAAAAGCAAGTGCTTCATCATCTAGATTCACCCATCATTCACAGCTCCTATTTTAGTTATGAAGCCTGGATTTTCTTAGAAGCCATGTTGAAGGAAAAAATTGTTCAGGGATTAATTTAGGCTTCACTGTAGTATACCTATGTTCTAAAAGTGTAAAGTACTTTCTAGAGAGTAAAACTTTTTTTTTTCCTGAACTAGCAGACTGGTATTAGATCCTATCATAGGATTAGAAAATTAGACAGGCAAACACCAAGCCTTATTATGTTTATTTTTAGAACATTATGGATGAACCCAGGCCTATTTAACCCTGGAAGATTTGTCCATGACAACTGTCCAATAAACAAGTACTTAGCTGAAAAAGTAATGATCTTTGGACTTGGCAAAAAAAGATGATTTGGATACAGCTTTGCTCATGTTAAAATCTTCATCTTAACAATGTTGCTACATCAACTGAATATCAACAGTTCACAAGGCCAGAATTTAGGTGTCTCCCCAAATTTTGTACTAGCAATGAAACCTGAGCAGTTTAAAATTTCAGTCTCACTGAGAACATAAATGTCAGTATATTTTGGCCTATTTTTTTACACAGACACATGCATTTTTTGAAATCTATGACTCTGTGAGAAACAAAAGACTTTTAACCTTTGTATCAAATGACCTTTGTTTTGTTGCACTTCTAGTTTGGTTTTATAATTTAAGGACAATTTGATAAATATAGCATCATAGAGGATGCTGTATTTTGTCCTGACATTTTTCTGGTTTACTTTTACACAGTGCATAGGAGCTCACTTTCTGCAGCATAAATTGCAGTCCATAAACAGAAAAGTAAAAATAATCTGAATTCTAAATTTAGTTTTTAAATGATCGCACAAAAGATTGTCAAGCCTTCTTTTTAGAACTTACCTGTGGCCTGTCCATGGCCTTTGGTAAAATAAGATCATCTAAACTGAAGAAAAATGGGGAACAAAATACATATCCTGCATATGATGCTGTGGATGTGGTCAAATGGTTATGCATTACTTTATTAGTATGTAAGTACCACAGGATACAGCAAAAAAAGAGCTTCATTTGATGAAGCTGTGTATCTAGAGGAGGCAATCAAAGATACTTAAAAGGACAGAGATAGTAAAAGTCAGCAAAAAATGCAATTCTCAGAAAACAGGCTACTTGTTTTTTTCTGAAGAAACATTACATCATCATTCCTATGGCTAAGTAAATATGTTCATGGTCTGTCATTTGTGCATTGTTTCATTTAGGTAGGAGAATAACAGCTGAAGTATAAATCATTTCCTTTGTATACTGACAGATGAACTGAATATGTTACTATTCATACTGTCTAACAAATTATTTCAATAATAGATTTCAAATCCATAAAACAACTTCAGTTTTTCATTATTAGCAGATATGTATGACATTTCAGAGTATCCCCTGTAAAAAATGGGTAAGAATAGTGCACTTTGCACTCACTATATGGGTATGCTTAATAATATGTTTTGCAAAGGTTAAATATGGTTATTTCACTTGCATAAAATTTCAGCATTTGAGTCTAAATGTGAGGTGAGTAACTGATATTGCATCTTCTGGTTTACAAGAGAACAACGATGTACCCAGTAACATGGTAATCCCACTAAAGTTTTTAAAGATATCATTCAAAATTTTTCTCTTTCTTTGCCCCCAATCTTTTTGTCAGCATAAAAAGAATTCATTGTGCTGTCTCATAAATAACAAAAATGCTTGTAAGGGATTTTTTTCCCCTTCTCCTGAGAATAGTTTCTCATGATCATACCTTTCACAAAGCAGCAGTATTTAGGGAAACACAACAGTTGTCCTGTCTCAACATTAGTTAAAAGGAACTGTATTCATCCCCCTAGCCTCCTACAAATGTTGGGTGCGAACAGTGAACCAAATCCACCACAAGCTCTGCAATAAAAAGGACTTGTCACAGCAAGAGGCCCCTAATTTCTCTGGCATTGCCAGAACATTATAGAACTGACGTATGCTATCTCTTGAAGCACCCAAGCAAGCAGTTTCACAAAGAATGCTCTGTTTGTCATGTGGGGGACTTGTTTGCCTTGCAGAGCATGTCATTAATGTCCTTACATGTTTATGGGACCAGATAACGGATTTAATTGCTGATTGCCTCTAGGCAACTTCAAATTATCGGGTTAAGTTTTGTGTGTTTCAACGAATTAAAGATGATTCCTAGTGTCAAAGCTGTAGATGTGGCTTTTGCCAAAGGGATACTGAAATGGAGGAACAAAGGAATAAAATGGCTGGTGGAAATGAAATGGAGTCAACAGTAGGAACTTGGTAAGCAAGGAGAAGGCAAAGAGCTGAGACAAATAATGAGATTGAGGCAGAGGAGGTAATGGTAGGAGCAGAGGGCTCCAATGGGCTCAGTTTGCACTCATTGCACAGGTGAAGGCTGGGAGGACGCACTTCTGATACTGCCCTTGAACATACCAAAAAAATTACCACAAGTGCAAGCGTATACTAAACTCTTGGGAAGCAGTAATCCTGCCTGCCCTGAAGCCACAGATACCTCTGAGACTGCCCAATCGCCTGGACGTTGTGTTCGCTTGGGGGTGGAGGTCATACTCCAGCCTCAGCCCATGGCCACACTGTCCATGCCTCCGTCACACTCTGCCGCTAGCAGAGAGGGAGCCGGCACGGGCAAACCTGAGTTCTGCCCCAAACACGGTGGGGATGCCACTGGCCACGCTGTTTGTTAAGTCTGAGCCTGATGCCGGGGGTGCTGTAGAAACAGCTGGAGCCTGCGCCATCAGCACCATCACTGCTCGTGGGCGCAAAGCAAGGCAAAAATTCCTGCTCGCTTCAGGATTATATTTGTGATAAAGAAAATACAACAAATGCAGCATTTGGACAAAATAATCTGTCTGATATTAACTTTCAGTTATGCTCCTGCATCTACAGCTACCATTATGAGAGTAGATAAAGAAGTAGTAGCACATGCACATTGCCTTATACGACACTACTGAGAAACATAGCATTCTTTTTGCTGTGACTTGGATTTGATGGGAGGCAATAGTTTTGGCTGTGCTGAATGAAACACGGGGGCTAGTTTCTCATTTAAGAGCAATTTGGGGTTTCAATATTTATTTCATATCATAACTGAGTAACAATTTAATATTTTATCTCTTTTTCTACCCTAAAAATATGTACTTACTAGTGTATTCAGCTTAGAATATCCCACAAGGATCAGGAAAGGTCTAGCACAGAAACAAAAAGTTTTCATGTGAGCAGAAATAAAGAAGACTAGGACTAGGCTATGCAGAGGATGTTTTAGTAAGAAAAACTAGCACTGCTGTTATTCTTTCTTATGATGTGGAATTTGTGTCATATGACTAAATGAAAGAAAATACATCTAAATAATTTTGAAATGTTTTTCTTAACCTGATTAGTTAATTTATATTAAAAAAAGTACCAAATTAACAAGTTCACTACAAGAAAAAAAAAAAAAGGAAATATCAGTTACCAGAATAGTACTGTTCATTACTGACAGAAGGATATAATTATATAAAATGTAGTAAGGAACATATTTCAGAGAATTAGCCAATGAAGTAAAAATCACCATTACTGGACACAGATGAAAAAAAAAATATTTATGACATTTAAAAAAAAAGTGGAGAAATGAAAAAAAGAGGGGGGAAAAAGCAAAGTAAAATGATGAAAAAGAGAAAAAAAAGTAGGTACTGCAAAGTGGAGAAATATTTTCTGCCAGACTCTGAATATAACATTCCCCCAGGGATGCCAGTTTCAGTAGCAGCTGAAACTGCTTTTCTTTAACTCAGATTTACTTAAGTGCAGGAAAGATGAAAGCTTTAGAGTTTCCTCTAAAGAGTTAAATTTTAGAATGAATGCTCTGAGGGCTTTCTTTGTCATTGACATTTCTGTTCAGAGCTGATCTATGCCATTTCCAAGAGTTGCACACCCACCACACAGCACTTTGCTGTGCAAACAGGGGAGCCAGTGTCACTTGCCTGTTCACAACTTTATTTCTTCTGACTATTCATAGGTGAAAAGAACAGCCCTGCCAATTCTCACTGCAGAATTGGCTCCTCTCATTCAATGACGTCCTTAAAAAATGTGGACTCAAGTTCATGAGTTAAAATTGCACCACTTCTTCCTTTCCTTTCTCACTTGTAGAATTGCTTCCTCTCATTCAATGGCGGCCTTAAAAAATATGGACTCAAGGTCATGAGTTAAAATTGCACCACTTCTTCCTTTCCTTTCTCACTTGTATTACTCTGTCATATTCTGTATAGCTGAGGTATATGGAAAATGTCTTGTGTGTGGAAAATACAGTCTTGTATGGAAAACATTGAGGACCATACCCTAAGGTTAACCATTCCACCTTTTCTGGTTTCATTTTCACATTAACAATATTAATTACACATTGCCCCACTTTTCCTTGCTCTTAGAGTGTATTAGAGGGTTTACGTTAACTGACTGCTACTGTTAGTTTGCTTTCTAATTCTCTAACATAGTTGTGGCCTTCAAGTAACCAAAAAAAAGTAAAATGTGACCTATCTTATTGCCAAATAAATTAGACATCAACAGTAAATTTCCATTTAGAGGCTATCTTCTCTAGGAAGAGGGAAGCTACTCTTATTTGTTTCAGGTGATGTCTATGACATTAATTTTTGTTTCTAGATTATGAACAAGGTGGCATTACCCCTGGACTGTCTAATTGTTGAAAAGGTGAAAGACTTTCATGTGAACTGCAAGCCAAAAGCTGGAGGACAGAATGAGAGGAAGCCAGGACTGAAGAGGAGGTCCCATGTCTTTTCTTGCACCAGGGTCAGACCAAGTAGGGCCAGATCTGAGGGAAACCTGTTTCGATAAAAAACATCCAAGTGAAAGCACATGTTTCCACTAATGGTGATGACCATTTCAGTTGAGGTGATTTTTAGTTTAGGTACAGTGAGATACATTTCTCTGGGAGATGAACAGTTCTGCCACCAGGCAAAGGCATGTTTTCTGTGGAACATGAGAAGGGATGAAAGGTCTGTCAGAAATTTGCCTTTAATGTTTTAAAAATCATAAATGAAAGCCTTCACTGTCTGGAAAACCTGCATCTGAATTTTAGCAGGCAAATATCATAGGCTTTTTCAGCTAGATGCAATGTGATAACACTGATATTACTACTCATGTCATAGATAATCCTTTTTCCCTCTTTTCTTTAGCAAAAGGTGTGAGCACAGTGAAAAGGAGACTTTATCCAGCATAAGATTGAAAAAAACAACCCTCTCTAAATGAAAACTCACCTCCCCTATATATTCTGTCAATTCAGCTGACTTTGCATCATGCTGCCACTATCTTGCATTCCTATGGTGAAGCCTCTCCTTTTTTTATTATTATTATGATACCTTTTCCATCACACTATATGTGGAATAACATTAAAACACATAAGAAAAGATGAAACTCCAAAACTATATACCTGACACAATGAATAGTCAGCTGTAAAATTAGGACTGGATTAGAAGTAGAATCTTAATGTTTCCTTTCATGCAAAATATTCTTTTATGTTCATG